TTTGAGGTGAGCTTATTGTCTATCATTCAGGAGACCAGGTACGACAGGGCTCAAATATAAGTCACAATCTGGCTCTGCCACTTACTTTTTCCATGACCTGGAGCCAGTTACTTTAGTTCTCTGAATCTGAACCTGTGAAGTGGGAAGAATAGTACAGGTCTTACTGGATGTGTGGGAGTTTCTTTCTTTCTTTTTTTTTTAAAGATTTATTTAACTCAGTGCTTCTGTTGATGGGCAAGTTGTGAACTTGCATTATAGAACTGGGGTACAGGCCAGGAGAGGATTCACCAGAGACAGTGAGGAGAAGCACAGGCTGACTGATGAAAACCACTGCCGAGGGGAGCAGCGGGTGGGTCAGGAGAGGTCTGCTGCGCCATGTGGTCACCTCCGGGGCAGGTGGGAATCAAACTCATGCTGAAGTGGCTTTAGCTTCTTAGTGCTGTGCTTTAACTCACTGCGCCACCAGGGAGGGTCTGGGATTTGTGGGAGTTTTAAATGTGATTACACGTTCAAAGAACTTCGGAAAAGTGTTAAGTGTTGCTATTAGCTCTTTAACGCAGTGCTTATGTTGATGGGCAAGTTGTGAACTAAGAAATGGTCTCTGTGTGTGGACCAAATATCTATTTTTTCCATGGATATGGAAAAGCGAAGTAGTAAGTCAACCGTAAAAAGTGCTTTATCTATATACTTATGTTACTGCTTTAAGACTCTCATGTCAGAGTATGGGAGTCAAGTTATATAATTTGGAGCAAGGTTTAAAGAAATAAAGACAATCAACATAGAACTTTCTTCTTACTCCAGACTTTAGTATCTTTATATTTTTTAATCTACTAATCTACTTACGACTTTCATTGCTGTGGTTTGCCCTCAGCCTTCTCTCTCTCTCTTCCTCTCTCTCTCTCTTTTTTTTTTTGATATGCTTAGAATGGCAAACCTCATTCTAAGCAGGTCTGATAGTGGTATGTATTTTTCACAACAAAACTGAAAGTTGGCGGGCTCATATGTGACTTTTAAAGTGTGTGTGGTCTAAATCGGCAATAGATTTTGTTATTTTTGGCTTTGTGTCTTGAGCAACTTGAATATTTTTCTCATAATAGTTCTAAATGTGAGCATTTTATGCATTGCTGTTATTAAGTTGGAAGTCTAAAAAATAGCAAGCTTAGCTTTAAAAATGAAGTCGACTCTATAGGCAAGTGATAATTACAATAAAACAGAGATATCAGCTTCTCTCTTGCAATTGAAGCTGTTAATGCTCATGGTCATAGAAATGCATAGTTCTCATAATAAAAGCATTTAAATAACTCTTAATAGGAAAATTTTGGCACAATTTTTATAACTCTATTTCTCCATGTAGACCTAAATCACAATCCCCTGATACAGGTTCTTGGGACCCAACCTGAAAGAGCCTGATTCAGTAGGTGTTGGGTGAGATCTGAGCATTCACATTTTCAACAAGCTCTCAAAGGTGACTCCTATTTGCACTACAGTTTGAGAACTGCTTTTTATGTTTGGTGTGTTTTTCACATGAGCAGCTGAACCATGAAATGGTTTAAATAATGTTGACCAAATACATAACTGAAACTCTCAGCTTGCAACTAGCAACAGAAAGCATCCTCATGTACTATGTACATGCTCATCCTAAATAATATTAAGCAATATAGGATGTATGCCCTTGAGTATTTGTACTAAAGAGTTCAGCTTTTAATGGGGCTTGGTCTGGATGATGTCTGGAATACATGTAAGCATGTTAGTTAAGAATGTTAATTATAGCTTGCTATTTCACATCTTCATTCTGCTTTCTGCATCATGTGACTAAGAGGACTTCCATATTCCATCAACCAGGACTTAGCTCCACCTGATTATTTTCTGCATTATCTTTCTCCTCTTTATGATGCTTTTTGTCTAGAAACTTTATCTCACATGGTCTCTTGCTAAGTGTTCTGTTAGTGTGTGTGTGTGGGAGGGGGAGCAGCCTTACCTCCTTCAAGATCAGCAAGAGAGCAAAAAGTAAAGCCACAGTAGCATTCATATGGATGCAGCTATTTCAACAAGGCAAGGGTCTTGGTGAATGTAGATTTCCATGGCAGTGAGAAGACACTTAAGCAATCACGGGTATAGTGCTTCTTCTCGGCTCACTCCCACTTCAGATGAAACAATTGGAGAACTGTGATGCATTGCACAGCCCCATGGGTAGTCAGTTGAAGGGTTATGCACATCTGCCAGGGCTGGTGCAGAGACAAGATTTAGATACCAGATTTTTGAGTTGGGTTGGCTCCTTATCAGGAGGAAGCCTGGCATTTAGCCTTGGTATTGGTCCCAATCTGATCACACTCTGAAATGTGCTCAGTCCTGCTTTCCTTTTCCTGTTCACAGCAACTCTGTGTTAGGACTTTCTTCCCTGCTGTCTTGCTCAGAGACACCACTCATCAGGCTTAATATGACCTGTGGAGATTTTGTTCTTCCTTTTCATTAGATAAGGTTAAGCTTAAGGCTCCTCCTTTGCAGAAGACATACGTTTAGAGCAAGTACACAAAGCCACAAAGCCACAGTTGATTCTTTTTCTGTGCACTGGGGAAATGATAGAAATGTGACAAAATCCTTGACCACTTATCAGCTGGTGATAACTATGAGCAGAAGCACCTCAATCTCACTGGATTGTCGTTCCCTTATATTGAGTGACACCAGGTCTCCCAAAGCCAGGTAGAAGTAATGTTTACCTAAGCTCCATCCACCAGAGGTGGTCACATGTTCTCAGCGTTTGTCTGTGTGTGTTGTGTGAGATTTTTCACACAGCAGAGAAATAATTCCCCCAGGCTGTGTGCCTCCTGTGGTTACTCCTAATGTGTGTGAATTGGCAGAACACAGTGGACCATAAGCGCGGATCCCAAGTCCATTAGACCTAAATACGTTACCTAGTAATACCTGCATCTTTCGATCGATTTGCACATTTTTAGTAACAGGAGATTGGAACTGCAGGCACCACAGCAGATGCTGGGACAACTTAGAGAGAGAGATGACGTCTTGCCTAACAGCTTGATTCTAAAAATACTACCTTGACTGTAAGCCTGATAAGTGTTTGCAAGGCTTTTTTTTTTTTTTTTCTCACCTTGCATTCAAGGAAAATATTCTTAAATAGATATCTGGTTTTAAGTGACACAAATAGCAAACTTAACCTTCACAGTGAAAAAACCCTTATGAAGTTGGAAGTACCTAAAAATCAATGACATCATACTATACTAGAGACCTAGAGTGCTTAATAAACAGGTAAAGCAAAGAGAAAAACATTTATCTTCCATTATTGTATTCGTTAACACACACACACACACACACACATTTGTGTTATGTAGGCTTGTGGTGTGCTATGGAGTTGAAATGTGACCTTGACCAAGTAATCAAAGCTCTCAGATTTTAAACTGATTATATGAACTGTATTGAAGGGGCCCTCCCTGGTGGCACAGGGAGCTCATAGCAGTACTATGAAGCTATTGGCAGCCACAGCAGCCTGAGTTCAATCCCTAGCCAGGGAGCTGACCCACATGGCACGGCAGATCTTTTCTGCCTCACCCATTGCTCCCCTCGGCAGTGTATTTCAGTCGATAGACTTGTTCCCCACTCTACCTGTGGTGAATCCTCTCACCCCCAGCACCTCTGGCCTGCATTCCAGTTCTTGTATGCATAAATAAATAAATCTTTGAAAAGAAAAAAGAAACTGACTGGCCGATGTTGGCAAACATTCAGGCCAGGTAAGTTCATTGTCAATTCTAACAGAAAAAGAATTTTGGAGCCTTTGGGGTCTTTGACAGGTCTTCAATGCTGAATCAGGGGACAGGCCAGCTGGCAGGGGGACAGTAACTGAGCACTCTAGCCTCAGAGAGACACCACTCTGAGGATCAGAGCTGAGGAGACCCTTTTACCCCTCCCTGCTTCTCAGCCCAGTGTCTGCATTTCACCTTACATTGGAACACAGCAATACTCAGCAACTGAAGGGTTAAAACATAATTTTAAATTACCTATTGGGTGGTGCAAAATGAAAATGTATTACTAAAAAATTCTCCATTCAGAGCAACTACATTTTAAAAGGCTCCATCAGAAATCTGTAAAGAGGGCCTCCCTGGTGGTGCAGGGGTTAAAGTCCCACGGCTCTCAGATTCTCCCCTGCCACTGCTGACCCACCTGCTGTTTCCCTCAACTGTGTATTTCAGTCATTCTGCTTGTTCTGCTCCCCAATCTGTCTCTGGTTAATCCTCTCACCCCACTTCATCTCTGGCCTGTACCCCAGTTCTTGTATGAATAAATAAATATTTAAAAAAAAACCCAGCCATAAGCACTGTGAGTATGAAAGTGAATTGAGTACCCATAAAGGGGTCCTCGCTGGTGCCACATCCAGTTGAGGGACAGCACTATGAAGCTGGCCACAGCCACTGCAGCGCAAATTCCATCCCCAGCCAGGGAGCTGACCCACATAATGTGACAGATCTCTCCTGTCCCTCCTGCTGCTCCTGTCAGCAGTGTACTTCAGTCAGTCTTCCTGTCCTGCTCCCCACTCTGTCTCTGGTGAATCCTCTCACCCCCTGCGCCTCTGATCTGTACCCCAGCTCTTGTGTGCATAATTTTTTTTAAAGGATAACCATAAAGTTCAGAGCATGACTTGAGCAGAAGCGTCATATACATTAACTTAATTTTTACAATAATCTTCTAAGGAAGGTAGGGTGCTTATTATTAATTTTCATCCCTATTTTAAAACTGCGGGTAATAAAACTCAGTCATTTAAATACCCAGCTTAAGCTACGAAATTGCTGAGTGAGCATTTAAACCCTGTGTTACATCATTGTGTCTTTTGTGCCTTCAGGGAATCAGTGGGAGCTGTGGGGTGGGAGTTGTCACCTGGTACGGGTGGTTATGTTCCAAATGAAGTTACCTGCAGAGATAGGCACCGTCTTGAGCAGAGGTGTGTGAAGAAGCAGGACTTAACAGATCCCCCCCGTTCCTTTCCCCGGTAGGTGTGCCAGTTTGTGGTCTCGGTCAATGGGCTCAATGTGCTGCACGTGGACTACCGGACCGTGAGCAACCTGATTCTGACGGGCCCACGGACAATTGTCATGGAGGTGATGGAGGAGCTGGAGTGCTGAGCATACCCACGCCTCCCCTTCCCCGACCAGCCAATGGCCAGGGCACCACAGAGCGATGCAGGACCGACCCTTCCTCCACTGGCCAAGTGGACAGACAAGTGTTTCTCTGCACATCCACATCTGAATCTGAGTTGCACACACTATTTGAATGTGGAACACCTGGGTAATGCATTTTTCAAAAAGAAAAACACAACTTATGTAAGTGTAGAAAAAAACAAAATTTTTCTTACATGGTAGAATCACCTTACTTGACTTCTCTTGGTGGTTCTCCCTCTTTATTTCATTTTATTATTATTATTATGTTTTAATCTTAGTGCACAGGAAACTGTTGAGAACGTCTCTAGCCCAAACAGCCCCATGCTACAGTTATCACAGACTTTGAGTTGGCCTCTCACCAAGATGGGCTGTTTATTGGAGGATATAGTGTTCAACAAGCTTCAAATGAAAGCAACATCCAAAATAATGTTAAATGTTAAGGAAGAACTTGTAGAAGGTTTTAAAGCATTCAAGTGCTTAAAAGCCATTAAAAAATACTTTCTTAATTCCTGCCTTTCATATTAACTTTTAAAATGTCTGCAGTGATGGTATTAGTTAAAAAACAAAAACTTAATGATGATGTGGGTAGAGAAGATAGGGAGGAATATTTAAATGGTTTCTTCTGTTTTCTCTTTCTGGGCCTAAATCATTTGGTTTCATCAGTTAACTGCAGCAGTTTTCTAGAATTAATCTGAGTTAAATGTCAAATCAGAGAAGATTGTATATGCACATATAAATTCAAAGTCAAGCCTTCTGACAAGATTTCACTTTGAAGTTGTCCTATTTGAAGAGACATATTCTTTATGTTGGCCCATATGTGACAAAACTTGAAACTCTAAGTTGCCTAATTAGGCCTCATTTTTTTATAGCTTTCTAATGTACCATGTTCTAATTACATGAAATGCTGCTTATGTGGAGGGATTGATTTTCCCTCAAATCACTCTTATGTTGTGACTTTTTGGCTCATTTGTCTATAGGCATATGTGCATTTGTGTGATTGTTTTTTTGATCTAGAAAAGAGTGCATTTGGGGATGTGGTTTGTAGAGAAAATTCCTGTGTGCCAAATTAGGGTGTCAGAGAACACCGAATTCCTCATGATTTAAATAATGCATTCTGATTTATCTCATGTGTTAAAAGAACATATGAATGTTGTACCTCAGTCACTTTTGTGATAGGCTATCATAACATGCTGGTACTGGTATAATGGACATACCGTGCTAAACATTTGACATACATGTTTTGGGTGATCCAGCCTTTTTATGTAGCTATTTAGTCAGAGAACAGAATTTTGAAATCATCGAGCCATCCAACATTACCTTTGACGAGCACATTGCCTCTGTATGTATCTGCATTTACTCTGTCCTTGAGACCCTGGCTATGGCATTTAACTTCTAGGATATTCTGTAATCCTCCATGCAAGCCTGTCAGATCAGTATTATCACCCTCATTTTTCAGATATGGAAATAAAATCTAAGCAAGTTTACAAAGATCGTCTAAGTTCACACCCCTGCAAGAGTTGCTCCATGACAGAAACTGGATTCAAACGTAGATTTATGTCATTCTAAAGCCCATGTTTCTCCACCTCTCCCCGCAGATGCTATGCTGAAACTACATGTTACTTCTCCTTTATAATCTGTAGAGTCTAGGTGCTCACTGTCCCCATTTCCCAGCTGAGGACACTGGCTGGGATCACTTATACAGTTGAGGCCAAACAAGTAAGTTTGGGAAACATTACAATTCAGCCTTTTTAAATAATTTTTTAAACATCTTTGGAAGATGAGTCTTAAATCCTAGGTAGTCATTCATTGACAAAAGACGAAGACACGCCTTTGGGGAGCGGTATCTCCTCACACGCTGCTGGTACAGTTTACACTCCTCCTAACGCCCCTTTTGGGACCTGGTGTGATACCACACCCCTTAGGCAATCTGAGCACCAGAGATCACCTGTCTGTCTGCTCCACACAGCTCCCTGTCTGTGAGGTTGCTGTGATTCAGAGAGTGTTAATGTCTTTGATTAAATGAATACTGAGGTGAAGGAGAGGAGGAAGGAAGACAGGGAGGGCAGGTGTCGCATGGTGCAATGCCATCCTGATAGAGAAACGGGAGTCATGGAGCAGGTTGCATAATGCGGGATGCTGCTGACGAATGAGATCCGGGCCTTTTTATTGATAGAAACGATGTAGGAAAAAGGAAAAGGGGAAGGGCGGATCTGTCATCAGTAGTATAAGGGGCTGGGAGCTGCCCTCCAGGTGCTTCTCTTCTGCTTGATGACTCGGGATTGTAACCGAGATCTAGCCCTAGTTCCCTGGTGAGGGCTTTAACAATGAGGTGTTCCCCTGATCGGCTTCTGGGGTCCTTTGACATACATCAGTCCTCAGTCTCCTGGGTGTTCCCAGACATACGTAGTGTTGTATGAGTCGGAAGTAAGTTTGTGCATTGTCATCATCCCCTAGGCATTCCCGGTCACACCTCTGATGCGCACCCTTCCCGGGGTGATCAAGCTTTCTGCTCTTGATTTATTTGAAAGGCCCCTTGTAGGTCTGGCTCCTGTGACTGATGAACCAGTTTCTGAAAGGCAGTTCTGACCTTGTCTAGGAATGCAGAGCTGCAGGTAGCAAAATGATGGCCCAACAGGCCACTTAGGATTAGCAGACCCACAGGCAGGAAAGAAGGAAGAAAGGAGGGAGGGGAGAAACGAAGGTGAATGAGTGGGAGGGCGAGAGTAGAGAGGGAGGGTGAGCTGGAGGGGAGAGCTGTTTGCTTCCTTGGCTGTCATTACCGTCAGTTTCAAGGCCTGATGCCAGAGATTCTGCTAAGGTTCAGAGCACTTGGCCTTAGCCCACCCTGTAGCCTACCTCTGACATTGTCGTTGCATTAAGTATCTTACATCTTCATTCAATAAAGCTGAGGGGAAAAAATGAAAGTTCTCCTGCTCCCCAGGGAGGCCCATCTAGCTCATCCTAGTCTTTGCATTTACAGTTTTTCCTCCACAGAATATCCTTCTTTGATGAAAATGGCCACCCATAGACATTATACCTGCCTGAGAAAGTTTTGCTAACTCCCTAGCTCTAGGATTGATGTCCCTGCTCTAAGCTCCCATGGACCCTGGTGCACCTATTCTCCAGGCTTGGTTTAGCACCAAAGACACTTGCGAACCACAGCAACCCCTCACCTGCCAGAGAAGTAGGGATCCACTATCCCATTGCTCTTCCAGGAAGCCACCCCCAAGATGTGCTTATACCAACACTGGTTCTTGGTTGGGGATCATAGGGGTAAGCAGTTTGGGTAGAATTCTGCCGGGAGGGCACTCCCGCTCTACATGGTGCCGGCTGGGTTCACAAACACTTCTGTGGTCAGTGAGTAGATGGGGTGGGGGTTGACTTGAATGATTTCCAGGCAAGGATCCCCCAAGCCTGCTTGGAAGATTACTGCTGTAGCAATTTGTTGGCAAAATCCCCAAACTAGACCAGGTAGGGAAACAAGACTACTTTTTTTTTCTGAGAGGAGCTGCAAAGAACGTGTGGCCATTTTTAGTACTCAGTATTTTTCAAGAAATGACCAAGAAATGGCCTGGTTATGAAGATTAAACTATCTAGATGGCAAGTTACTGACCAGCTTTTGGGTAGCAGCCTCATGTGAAGTTGTGAATGGAGCCCAGTGTTTCTTCAAAGTCAGAAAATCCTAAAATAGAACCTAAGAGAGCACAGACAGTCTTCTCTAAGTGGTGAAGACCCCAGCTCTCCAGGGGAGCTATAGTCAGGGGAACTGTGGTCGAGCACAGCCATGCAAGTGGAGGAGGAAGTGGTGAAAATACACTGTGGACTTCCCTGGACTCATTACGTGCAGGTGATGGCCTGACCCTGTGAAGGTCAAGGGCAAATGATCTACTTGATTCACGACTTGGGTGGTTAAGTCACATCACATACAAGAATAAGTATTTTGTGTAATATTTCAACAATTGCTTTAATAATTAAACATCTTCTTTCATAAATGTAGCACCAAGAAGTAGTCCAAATTAGCAATAAGCAATATTTCTAAGAGCTTTTATTTCACGTGTGTGTGCCTGTGTGTATCTGTGTTTTGTTTGTGAAGTTTAAATAACGGAGGACTCTGCAATGGCTTGCTTTGTTTTCACAGAGCATTCTTTTGAATTTTTAGGGCTTTGTGTAAATTTTGGTGATGGAGATGAAGATAGGATTTGTTTCTTTGTTAGCATAGTATGTGATATCAGTGCAAATTTAAAAGCCATGTTTGTTAATTCTGCTGTAGAGGAAAAAATGCAATTGCCTTTTAGATTGGTATTGTTATGGATGTTTTATTAGTAATCTATAAAATAATTGTATAAACTGATAAAGGGAGTAGACAAAAATGGATAATTTCATGATATCCATTTTTGAGTAGATAAGATGTGATCAACTTCACACCTTCCTATACAATCCATTGGAGTAGTAATTGATTTAAAAATCACTGTTTTCAATTCAAAAGTTTCACATTTCCAAATACTCCTTTCTTTTGAATATATTGTGAAAATAATCTGCTTTTAGGAGATATTTTAACTAATGATGTTCATTAATCCCTCCTATTGAAGATTGATCATGTTTCATTTTGATTATAAGTGATCAAATAAGTCTAGAACATTTCAGTTTTATTGATTGTTTAGTCTATTGCTGCCATTGACTATGGTTTTACTCCCTTAAGGTAGACTTTATAATGTAATGTTTTTCTTCAGTTCAATACCAAAAAGACAAATCTGCCGTGTGCCAAAATGAAGTTCATCATCAAAGTTAGCATATAGTATTGTCATCCGCACTAGTATGTGTGTTTAATGTTTGTTTTAAATTCATTTAAAATTTATTTTCTCCTCTTCTTAAAAATTGTAGTCAACACTTAAAATTATTATGTGAAAATAGATTATAGAGCATGAAGTAAATGTTAAAAATTTGAAATAAATGACTTTAGGATTTCAGCTTTTCCTAACTTTTAGAGCAAATTAGCCATTTTTTTGATCTTAAGAGAGGGTTGTATTATGAAGATGCTCTACCAACCTGAGAAAACACAGAAGACGCCTCTAATTCTCTAAGTAGCCCAAAGTGCCATTTGTAAAACTACTTAATGATGGATGTTTTCTCAACCTCTTTGGCTTGAAAACAAAAGTGCATTAAAAAGTTTTTTCTTTATTGTATTTGATTTGGGGTCATTTTTCTCTACTCATTCCAATATTGATGAGTGTTAGGAAATAGTCTAATTGCAAAATCTTGTGTGGTTGTTTATCACATTGGGAAAATTTTTCTTTTTAATTTAATTAAGAAACTAGTTATATAATTCAACATTTGCAGAAGGCAAGGTAAAGTCTTGGTTATTGTCTTCATGCCATCACCTGGGAATGTATGAAGGGGTCTCCTGGGGATCCACTGAGGGGAATTGCTGAGTCATGAGAAATGTAAATGTTCACCTTATGGCCACATCTAACCCACCTCTGCAGTGCTTGAACTTTGCAATGTACGTGCATCTGAAATATAAACATGGACTATGTTAATCACTATCTTCTCCAACATGAAGTATTTTGAGACTTTTTAATTTCTGTCAAATAATTGTCTATTTGGCCAATGATACTGAGAGTCCTCATTTTCTGTAAAGTTCATAAAATTGAAAGCACAGGAGCACCAGGAAACATTGGTGTTCCTAACTTAATATGTCAGTATCTTCAAGATGCCCTGATATCTTAGCTCTCACCAACTGTGATCTTGATAATGGAATGATTCTTCGAAGTCAGTATAAAATTTTCAAGAACATCCAAGTGGAACTGGCAGTGCCTTTGGCAAATCACAAATACTAGGAGTCTTTGTCTTTAAGAAGTTTACATATTCTTTTTCAAAAATTTACGTACGTACTTGTTTGCTTGTTTGTGCATACAAGAACTGGGGTATAGGCCAGAGGTGGGCCTATAGAGGGAGGAGGTGAGAAGATTCACCAGAGACAGAGCAGCGGGGAACAGATGACTGAAGCAGATGACTGAAATGTACTGCTGAGGGGAGCAGTGGGAGAGACAGGAGAGGTCTGCTGTGCCGTGTGGGTCAGCTCCCTAGGGTGTGGGGGGGCGGGGATCGAGCTTAAGCCACAGTAGCTGCAAACTGCTTCACAGCTCTGTGCCTTAACCCGTGGCTCCACCAGGAAGGGCCTGAAGTTTACATTTTCTTGAGGCACGTAGGCGGTAAAGTTATAGAAATAAAACAGTTCACTTTAGATAGGGGTTAAATCTAAGAGTAAAGTAAAACAAATAGAATGATAGACCAGGATTTCATTGAGGTGATCAGCGAGAACGAAATTCAACGTCGATGAGGCGCCACCATTCACATTACAATCCAGGTCAACAGCGCCCCCTGCAGGTATATAATGCAACAGCCCGGAACAAAAGCCTCTGAACCCGCGTTTTTTTAAAACACATATTGAAATGCAAATGGAATTGAGCCAACCTTGGTGAAATCTGGAGTACTGGAGGCCAGTGCTCCAGAAGATACAGATGTTCCAAATGCTCCCAGGCAGGAAAGATTTAAGAATATGAACTCTGGAGACATACAAACCCAGATTAAAACTCCAGCTCTAGCACTTAGTAGTACATCTAGTGACTAAGCAAGTTCTAGGCATCAGTTTCCTTTTCTGTAGATTGAGGTTAGCACTACTTACTACTCTGAGGGGTAAATGAGGTAATGAAGGTAAAGCAAATAATCGCTAGAGAAGTTCTAATTTGTCCTAAAACTCAAGTCAGATGTATACTAAGGACTGGAACCCACATGCCCCAGGAATGCTCAGTCACTGCTTTTTTCAGCACATCTCACTGTGCTGTGCTTTCCCATTTTCAAATCGTATAATAATCTCATTGTCTATTGTGCAGATTTAAAGTTTGTAGGACAGTTCGTGGCATATAGTGAGTGCTCCAAAACTAACATTTGAGCTATCCTCGTGATCATTATTGCTATTGTCATGCTGATTACTTGAAAAACTCATACTAGTCCTTCTAGATAATAGCAGGATTAGAACTATATATATGATCAACTCTATATTCAATTGAGTACTTCAAAATAAATGACCCATACAGTCATCTTTACCCTGCTTCTTGGGTACTGAGAAGCAAATAATTCACAGACAGGTAGAAAATGTAGCTCTGTATTTGTGACTGTGAGCTGGGAGAGAGCAAAAACAATTTTGTATTTGATGCCCATCTTATCCAGCTACTTAGTGTTTAAAACTAATAATTATATGTAAATAATTTACCAAACATGAAAACTCAAGATTTCATATGAAATAATTCCAACAAACTGCACAATATTACCTATTTACTACCCAATCAGGCTCCAAACATTTTTAATCAGCTATTCTGCCCATCTCTCCATCCCATAGCAAATACTGTTTCTGAGGGTATTATAAGGATGCAGAAGAGCTCATCTTAGATTCCTCTGTATTCTTCTAGACTGGCAAGGAATCATAAGCATCAGATAAGTATGAGAAAAAGTCAACAAAGTTTAATAATTTTATATCTCCTGTGTACGTGGCTCAGCCTAACTAATTCACCCAGGAGGTTTTTTTTTTTTTTTTGGATCTAGAGAGACGGGATCACCGCTTGCCTCTGCACATACACAGTGCTATGAACCAATGTTTCCTTCTTTTTTTTTTTTTATTTATTACGAAGTTTATTTTTACGTCCTTTTGCACATTTTTTTTCCCATCTCGATTGTAATCCCCGCGGGTTTCCCATCACCAAATCACCCCTGTGCCACCACCATAGCCCCGTGCATTTCCCTCCCTTCCCCCCGTTTTTGATCCCATTCCCCACTCCGCCCCCACAGAATGTCTCTGGTATATGGTTGTTCATTATTTTGTTATTTTCTCGCCTGGTCCATTATACTGCTGCTATGAGTGAAACCATCTGGTATTTTTCTTTCTCTTTCTGGTTTATCTCACTAAGCATGATCTTTTCCAGCTCCATCCAAGTTGCTGCAAAAGACATGTGTTTCTCTTTTTTGGTTGCTGAGTAATATTCCATTGTATATATGTACCACATCTTTCTAATCCAGTCATCTACTTTTGGGCGTTTGGGCTGCTTCCATGTTTTTCCAATTGTAAATAAAGCAGCAATAAACATGGGGGTACAAGTATCTTTTTCAATCAGTGTTTTTGTGTCTTTTGGGTAGATACTTAGGAGTGGGATTGCTGGGTCATAGGGAAGCTCCATGTTTAGCAGTTTGAGGAATCTCCAAACAGTTTTCCATAGTTCACCCAGGAGGTTTTAAACACCATCTGAGGGCCCTTCCTGGTGGTGCAGCGGGTTAAAGCAGCGCACTAAGAAACCAAACCCACTTCAGCATGAGTTCGATCCCCAGCCATGGAGCTGACCCACATGGCACGGCAGACCTCTCCTGACCCGCCTGCTGCTCCCCTCAGCAGTGTACTCCGACAATCTGCCTGTTCTACTCCCCACTTTGTCTTTGGTGAAGCCTCTCACTGCCCCTGCACCTCTGGTCTGTACCCCAGTTCTGGATGCATAAATAAATAAATCTTAAAAAAATCTGAAATGTGTAGCTAACACAAGGGACTTGGAGGAGGGCTTGATGCAAAGAAAGAGAAGCAGTTAAGGAGCTTACAGGGAAGGTACAATAGGCAAAGGAACACAGGTTCATTTCTGCATTCTCCACTGAAAACAAGGTAAGACTAGGTCTTCCCTACACATGCCCTTTGAAAAGTCTATACATACATAAATATCTTTTTTCGAAAGTAACCTCCACGCAGCCTTCAGAAACCCTCTCATGAAATTCACCCATTGCCAAAAACACATTTGGGTTTGGCAGATTTTCCACTACAGTAATTGGAGACCTAGTCTTGATTATAAAGGAAGTTCCTTTTCTGAGCACCTTGACTGAGACATCATTACTTTTATCTTTTGTGGGCAACTTCCTAAGCCTACAGGTTTAAAGTTTCATGTGGGGGTTGGGGGACACTGCCTGGTGGTACAAGGGCTTAAGTCTCAGCATTATGAAGCTGTCTGCAGCCATTGCAGCACGAGTTCGATCCCCAGCCAGGGAGTGACCCACAGGGCACAGCAGACCTCTCCTGACCTGCCCTTGCCCCCTTCAGAAATGTCCTTCAGTCAGTCTGCCTGCCTGCTCCCCACTCTGGTGAATCCTCTCACTGCCCCCATCTCTGTCCTGTACCCCAGTTCTTGTATGCATAAGTAAATAAATCTTTAAAAAAAAAAAAAGAAGGTTTCACATGGGAACTATGTAAACAAAACCACCACGCTGAGTGAGCTTCTGTTAGCACAAGCTCTGGAGCAGGGAGAGGAAGCAGAGGCCACTGCAGGCCATGGGCATCTTGCAGACACCCTGAGCAAATAAGGGAGTGTTGTGAAAGGAACTTGGCCAGTGCTTGTGTGTGCTTACACCCAGGAGTGCCCAGTTCTTGAATGTCATTCCACCTATGTGACCTCTCTTTGCCTACTGGGACTCCATGTTTTATTCTAAATGCCTTTTGCTCCCTCTTAGTTAAATATTAAACTTGTTTCTTCCTCAAGTCTGGAATGCCTGCATCCACAAAAGCTGATTCATAATACAAACTTAGGAGAGTAACTAGTGACACCTACTGAGATCCAGCCCAAGCAGACGGACGTGGGCACATAGGACAGCGAGAGGAAAGGAAGAGAGAAAAAGGACATTTATCCTGTTGGCTCAACTTTAAGACATGTCTGCGAGGATAGCCGAACTGGAAGACAAGCCCAGATTTGGAAAGATCTGGATGTTTCTGCCAGGGTAAAAGGTGAAGAAGTAGATTATTTGCAGTTCTGACCTGGGAAACTCATGAGCCACAGGAACATCAATGTTAGTTAATTATTAAGCAGAGAGGCTCCCAGTTCTGCTGTTTAACAGAAAAAGGGAAAGACAAGGAGAGCAAGCTTTAGGCAAGATTAGAGTCTGCCAATACCAACTGGTCTGTTAGATAAAGAACCCCGATTTTTTCAGACTTTCTTTCATTGAGCTAAATCAGATATGAAAACTGTTACTGGAGACTTCCTTTCTTGAATGCAATGGGAGAAGATAGTATAAAGCTCTTAATTTGAAAATACATTTTTTTTTTAAATTTTCCCAACCACTTCTTTGCTTTCCTCTTGTTTAGACAACAGGCTTCC